AACATAAAAAGCGTTATTAAGTACACATTTAAGAAAGGCGAATAGATAAGGCACACCTGAATTAATCTATCTTCAGAAGATTCAATCCTTCTGTTATGGCTGGTCTTGCCCGAGTTCAGTCCCCCCCGTCTGTGAAAGTTGTTCAGTTGAAAATTGAGTTCCCAGGCCCAAATGATTCATCAACAACCAAACAAAAGTGAGGAGCTGTCCACCTTTACTTGTTTGCTGTGCATGCACACTTGGCCTACAATTAGTAGCAGCATAGCACATCAATTCAACCCAAACTTTGCGAATTAAATCCCACTGAAAGCCGCTGTTCTGATCCTTCAGCCCATGGGCAAGCTTCCTTGCACCAAGCATAACGGATGTTCTTTCATAACCATGAATTTTCAAGACGTGGGTCGGTGGGGGCTCCTCGTTAAAGATGGTTTCTGCGAGACTATGCACATCCAAATTGGGCTGTCCAGTGAACAAAGAATTTAAATCGTTATATGCTAGTCTGCACACCTCTTTCCGATCAATGGACACGGTGGCCATCATAGCGGGCTCCATCGCTAGAAGGTAGAACATATAATCAGAGAGTCCTTTAGATATTGCTCTACAATCCTTATTGTCAGATGCAGCATCCCGATCTCCTAGGAAGCAGACTTCGGTGGCTATGTGCCATGTTAGGAGGCTTTCTGTGTAATCCAACTCCTTGACGCTCCAGAAGAGATTCCCATTTTTATCAAGAATTCCATCACCTTTTTGTAGACAAATTCGTTTGCCATCTTCTACCGTCTTTGCTTCTTGAGCCTTCGTTGTCAGTTCATCAAAAATGAAGCGCCATTCCAGATCTCCTAAATTTCGAACCTTGAAATTAATAATCCTGATGGGAAGAAAATTAGCCAATTTGTTCAACCAACTTGGACCATTACTAAAATGATTGGTTATGAAGTTGCGCTGGCCGATTTTATTGGACCACCTACGTCGGTTCTTGACTCCACTCATATTATCAAACTCCACTTTCCAGTACAGAAATTTGATCTCTCGATTACCTTCCCAATAGTAGTGATCCAGAAAATTAAAATCTGAAAAAAAAAGCAGTCCGATGGATATGAACTCCAAAGCTATGGCCGAAATCAACAAACTATAGGTTATCCAGACATCTAATTTCCCCAACTCGTAGTACTTTTTCTTTGTAATTGACATGAATGACATCAAGGCTCCGAAGGAGCAACCCAAATAAATGATCCGGCAAACATATCCAATCTTCCAATGAACCACAGGCAACTTGGTGTAAAGAGTTTCATACAAGAGGCTTAGCTCAATCTCCATTATATTGAGGACTTTTCTTGACTCAGTTGACGGTATTTTAAGAAAGGCTCTTCTGCTCAAGTTGCGCCGATCTAGAGATAGAAGAGGCCCAACAAGTAGATTCTTGAGAGTGCCATAAGGTCCCAATTCCCTTCGTAACATGATTCCAAGAAAGCGGCCCTCGGTCTCAGGTTCAGTTGCAGTTTTTTCTAGAAAGGAAACATTTGGAATCTTATCTCCATAATGGTCAAAGCTTGCACGATAAAAAGCATAGTTCCGCTCTGCATATTTGATTACTCCTACAATGAACACCAGGAGAGTTGGAAGCAAAAGCATGTCATATCTGACTGACTGAATGATAACTATGACAGTCGCACCAAGCTGTATCATGAGCTGAAGCAAGTGCCTGATCCAGAACTCATTATCCTCCAGAGAGAAGGAAGTAATGGTGTCCGGTCCACCAAGATGTAACAAAAGAAAGGGCGCCCATAGGACCATGATATCATTACTCTCAGCATTACTCCCAGCATTACTCCCAGCATTACTCCCAGCATTACTCCCAGCATTACTCCCAGCACGGAAGATGAGTCCAATAGTAAATGTAGCAACCCAATCTGCAAGCAAATATGCCATCCATAGTAAACTCATAAAAACAGAATTTCCCCCCATTTGTTTCCTAAATGGTGCAAATATAATTAAGAAAGACTGCAGCACGAGGCTTAGAATAATTAGTCCTCTGATGCTCCATGCATGCCATAGTATCAGGAAACTGTCTTCATTGAAGAACACCATCTTCTTTAGCTTGTTTTACTTGATTTGTCTCCCCAAAACTTGTCTAACTTTAGTGACAAATACCCTGATACATGAAGAGATTTCCGTTTGATCAATCCTTGAGAATCAAATTATATGTGACAAATTTTATAGTTGAAACTCTCCTGATTAGACTCTTAAAGCTTCTTTTTTACCAACCTCATAGAATCATTTCAGTGCATGAGCGTTCAAATTAAGTGAGGAACTGTTTTTTTTTTGGATAATCTAACTCCTATGATTTTTAGAAATTAGGTGATTCACTTTAATGGGAAGTCATGTTGTTCCTTGGCACTAATCCATTCCCCTTTTTTTTTTTTTCCTTTTGTGTTCCTTAAACATAGAGGTGAATGTTAATCAAAAAACCATATAAGTTATTATGAATACAAGAGTTTCGTAAGGTCCATTGGTTCGCGGAAAATAATATGTAGTGGGAAAATATTTTCTAGATTATTTTTTAATGTTCGGAACAATTTGAAAAAAAAAATTAAAGGAAAATAATTTTTTTTGTTTGGTAAGCAATTAAAAAACTCTAAAATTTAAATCAATTCTGGTAGCCCTTATCAATCCTGTACATTTCTCCCTTTTTTATCTTTTGCTCCACTTGTTCATTTTAATTTCCTACTTCCCCTAGCCATGCTGTTGAAATCTTAGCCTGCTTCCATCCCTACCTATTCCTTGTTTGCAACATATGAGTTTCAAGATCAGTAGTAAGACACTTTTATCACATCCACCTATTCATCCTAGAAAGTCACCTTATTACGCCACAACCAGATTACCAGCACAACCCCTCTCTGACAAAAGATTGAACAGCTGGTGTGGATTGTCAAAGGAGACTCTAATCTTCCAAAACTCATTGTCTCAAAATCCAAAAACTAAACTTATGCACTCAAGACAGCAACAAGAATTATATTGTACATGATAAAAATAAATTTCAATCAATTTTAATGGGTTTCTTGTTCTACCTAGCATGTTTAGGACATTGTATTTCATGGGTTTTGGCAAAGTTGTCCTCCTCAGAGGCACCAAAGCTTCAAACACTTCCCAAGATCGCTTGAATTTCTAGGTTCTGTGATTTGAGAGGGGAACTCTATTTTTTGTGGTTGCCTGAGTTTCTAGAGATGACTCGGTATAACAATTTAAAACTAATAATTAATAATTCGTACAATTTGATATCTAATATTTTTTATTATTAATAATTTAAAAACTTTTATTCGTAGAATCATTAATTATTAATTTTAAACTGTCGTATCGAATAATCTCTAAGTCTCAAGATCGTCTGAGTTTCTGCGCCTGATCTTGTGATTGTTGGATAAGTCTTTAGATTTTTCCTGGTATTTAGCCATTTCCTTGTACGTGTCTTTGTGTTTCCTAGTTATTAGGAAGTAGTTTAACGTGTTTTAGTTTTCAGCATAGTGGTTGCTATTTTGTAGCTCTGTTGGTTGGCACCTTGACTATTTTACGGGCCAAATATATTTCTTCCTATTCCATTATTACTTGAGATCTATAGAGAATCTTGTGATCTTTACTTTCAGATTGCTTAGTTTTTCTTCATTGCTCACTACACTCACCAACTGTTTGTTGAAATTCCTGAGAGAGTGTTCCATTATTTGACCCCTTTTATTCAACAGTGATTGGGGTCATGGTATGGAGATTTAATTACAGTGACAGTTTTAATGACCGGGATTTCGGGTCCAATTCGTGCGAAATGGAATGGTTAGTGTGTGACGGTGGTGGGTGGCAAGGAGAAAAGCTTATTGAAGCATTTGGTAGGAGGCAACAAACGGGAAGCAGAAACAGTGTGCACGAGGTTGAGATCGGTCGAGATGTAAAGTCGGGTCGGGTATAGACCCGTGTGTTTTTAGGGAAAACAACTTCCAAATTTTTGTTCCGGAAGTTGTTTTCCAAGATTTTCCAAAGTTTTCTGTTGACTCTAAATATTTTTTGTTGACCATATTTTCCTAGGTGCACCAAACATAAGAAAATGCAAAAAACATTTCCGGAGAATATTTTTTTGGCAATCAAACGGACCCTAAGTTTATTAAAGTTAAGGTGGTGGCGCAAGAAGCTTTGGTATTCAATTCCAAGGTGCATGTTCCTTACAATTTAATGATTCTGAAGGCCACTTGAATGAAGTTCTGATTGATTGTCTTATTGGAGAGAGGATATGTGAATTTTTTTTTTTTTTGGGTGTTAATTAAGGATTTAAGATTTAGAAGGCTAGAAGGCACGCTATAAATGTTTGGTAAATGCCTGAGGGATTGGTTTTTGATATTAGCTTCGGTCAGCTTTAGCTGTTTAGATTGGATTTTCACATATGTTCTAGGAAGTTACGGGTTCAGGTATTCTTGTACCCCTTAAATTTATTTTTATTTTGTTGATAAAAAATGTTTATTAAAACCAATTATTTAAATAATTCAATAGGTAGTATTTTTCTTGTAAAAATAAAAAATTTTAAATTTAAATCACATGATATATAAATAGAATAAAGTAAAAGGATGAAAAAAAGATTGCTTTCTATTGTAAAACCTAAAATAAAAAATATTTATTAAAACTTAGAGTTGTATTGTTTCTAATTCATTAATTTCTCCTTCTTTGAAAAAAGAAAAAGATTGGAGTATTTTTGGGTGACAATGATACTATATCTATCGGTAGGGATTTTATTTTATTTATAAAAATAGTTGTATTCGTGAAGTCCCGAATCCTATGTAACGTGAGGTTTTTGTTTGGAAATGTTTTTCGATATTCTAACTTTTGGATTTTATGTTTTTTTTTTCCCCTAAAAATTAGGCTCTAAAATCACACTCTATGTGGTTCATTTGTATTGTATTTTTTTAATAATTATTAACTATAATAATATTAATTCACAATTAAAATTAATTTTTAATTATAAATATAAAATTTTTTTGAG